TGTGAATAACGAGGAGAAGTGAAGCGTATCAGTCAGCCACAAGCGCTTAACAACCCTCGCACGGCTTACGGGACCCCAGGGTGCTGGAAACTTGGAATAGTTTGGAGCTTTTCTTTTGTGTGTGGGTAGATGCTCCTGCTTCCTCCCGGCCCCGAGCTTTATGAACAAGCCCGCAGTTAATCGTGGAATTTCAAACATGCGTGTTTACTTTCAGGAACCTAACTTTAAACTTCACCAGCTCGCTTTCGTCTAAACCAGCTCGGTTTCCCATATTTCACTGGCTGGCGATGGTTTGTGGGGAGTGTTTCCTTTGTGTGCTTACCCTGTAAGGCCTCTTGGGAGCTTCAGAGACTGGTGTATTTAAAACCTTGGCAATAACTCTGCATATGTGGTCTGTTTATATAATGATAAAGCTGTGTTAGAGGATTAGAAATTTCCTAGTAGTACCGAGTTGCTTTACACCTAGGTTTTACTCTAGCTTGTAAAAGTCTCCCCTGGCCTGAGGAGCACTAGGTCTAGCAGAAACAAAATTAATCTTTGAATATCAGCCAGAAAATACTATATATATTTAGTCCAGAAAGGCAATATCATGGTAAGTTTTATTGGAATGATTCTTAGCTCTACAGGGAAGGTGTCCCTGGGCGATGGGTGGAGGTGAGTTGTTCCGTCTTACCCCATGAGCCTTGGTGGTGGCAGGACTTACTCTGAAAATCAGTGCAGGGGACGCTGTGCTGCCTGGACCAAAAAACACCCTCGTGTGCAGGTAAGTCTGAACGTAGTAGTCATTGTGGGGATGTGACATTTACCCCCAAATCCCAAGCACTGCAAATCCCTCTTAAGCTTAACGTGCTTTGATTTTATTATTAATAAATCTTAGGAGTAAAAAAATCTGATCATGTGTCTAAACCTGCTAACTATTTCATAGAGCATCGTGCAGTGTGGGCACTGTTAAGACTATATCCTGCAGCCAGATTAGATTAAAATTACTTCAGAGAGGGGTATTTATTTATTTATTCCAATCTAATGATTGTTTTCCTCTAGAAAGGTACTTTATTTTTTTATATATATTTTCAAGACAGCCCATTATGCTGTGTTTGGCAACATACAGAATCAGTTTAAAATACAATTTAAAAACTTTCAAGGTAAGGGGTTTACAGCTGCTCTTCGTTGCTGGGTGTCAAAGCTTAATGCTCTCCAGTTTGCAGCTGACTGGTTCAGATGACAGTGTTGCTGAGCCTGGTAGAGTGCAAGAAATCAGTTCTTGACTCGCTGTGTCCATACCATTTCCCCCAGTAACACGCTGCCCATCCTCGGAGGGGCTGGGGCACAGGGGAGCTTTGCAGGTGCCGGTGCCCACACAAGTTGCTGCCGTGGAGCCAAGTCTGCTGGTGAGAAGTCTTGGCGTGCCAAATTCAGTTTATCTCCTGCTCTGGACTAATTAGAAGCAATAAAGCCAAGCGCAGGGGGGGATGATGGGCCCAGCTGCCTTTGTGTCAAGACCCTGCGCTGCCGACCTGAAACTGTGTGTAACGACAGTTTGAGACAGCATTAATGCTCACGTCAATCCCAAATGTAGTCCATGCTGGGGATTTCGGATCATTTTAGCTGGGTGGTATGTTGGAGTTGTCTGCTTGTGCCGATGGTAAGTCAGGACAGAAAGAAGCAGTCAGGTGCTGAGTATCTCACAGGGAAGTGAACGGGCTTGTTAGTAAAGATCTTTCACATGCATTTGTTTTCAAATACTGAGATCTCGATTTTGAAAAACTATTCATTTCATAGAGAACAAAAATTGGAGCAGGATTTTAATTCTAATACGGAATTCAGCAATGGAGTTACGGTCAGCACTTCTGTATGAGTCTGAATTTCTTTTTTTAATGCTCAGCATTGACCTAGATGGCATCAATTTGATTATTGCAAATCAAGCTAAAAGTATGATTTTATGCATCTACTTAAAATGATTTTTGTAAGTCTAGTATTTCCTTTAAAATTATTACCGCCACACCAGTCTTGTATGAACTTTTGGCGTTGCCAAAAATGATTATTCATGTGCAGGAACAACTTGCCTTTATAGCCCTCTCTGTAACGTTACTCTCTGTATTGGAGCTAAAGCTTCTGTAAATACGTGTTTTGACCTTCAAGGAAATACTCTTGTCTTTTCGCAGAAGCCTGGCTATTCTGAATTGAATGCTGTGACCACTCTTAATCATTTGTTCTCTCTCCTAATGTGCCGTTATCCTGTTTATTGCCGTGTGCGTGGCGCTGAGCCTCTCCGTGGCACTTCAGCAAGAGACTTGCTCAAAGAGTCACAGTGTTCAGGCTGTAATGAGCGTTAATGATGGAGCAGGTGAGCAAAGCCTCCGCATATCTTGCTGTCAGAAATGCTACTTGTTCAGTTCAAGAGCGTGTTGAGTGCAGTGCTGTGCTGCAGAGCGCTTTTCTGTCTTCTGGGGCTGCACACAAACTTGGCATCGGTTAAGTAGTGTTTTAGACACTGAGGTCCTTTGGCCATGCAGGGATGGGAAGTAATCCTGGGCTGGCATCAGACGTTACTGGAGAAAAAGGTAGATGCTTAGGTGAATGTGGGAATGGTGTGTTCTGATGGTTTTCTGACTACAGTGAACGCTCTTAATTTTGTTTGTCTGCTTTTCACTGAGAAATGGGTCTTGTTTTTCCCGGTCTTGTTTTTCCCAGTCTTCTGAAGTTGATGAAATGAGGAAAAAAGGAAAATGCAATTACTATTTTTTCTTGCTGACTGTGAGTGTTTCTGTTGCTTACTCAGGTAGCGCTCTGGCAACTCATAGCGGTTTTGTCTTCTGATGAAAAGGAGCTGGATTGTTGGTTTGTCTTTTTGGTGTTGCTGGGCATGATTTGGGGCAAGAAACTGCTGCCCACTAGCTGTTTGAACAGTGCATACTTAATAGTCATGAATGAATCTCATCTGTAAAGGTCAAACAACTTTTCGGTTCCTAAAGCAATTCCTTTAGGTTGTAGATGTGACAGGTCTTCTGTCATCATTTCTGAACGCCTTCTGAAAGACTCCAAGAACTCCACCTGCAACAGAGGGTGAGAAGAAAATCCAGGTTTCGACCTTTACAACTGCAAATATTGAGTTTATAGTAGTGCAGATAGTAACAATCTCCTAGGGATGAAATGGAGAATGAATGGTTGCGCTGTCGTCTTCTGCGGCTCAGTGAGGTTGTGTGTTGTTTCTCATGGCACTGAGTCACTGTTCCTTTGAGCAGTTGGGGTGAACGGGCAATAGCATGGAGTGGTCAAGCTGACATTCAGTGTGCAAAATTATTTTTAATTGTTAGTCACACTGTCACCCAATGGGCTCAGTCAGCTTTTGAGAGCACTTGCACAGTGAAGATGCAGAAGTTTTCATAAATGAATAGTTGCACAAGATTTCTTGGCCATTGGTTTGATCAGCCTTTGCGTGTTGAACCGAGAAGATGCATACGAACATGGAGCGAATGAATTACGCACAGTGAGTAATTGCTGTGCTGCGAGTAAGCTGTTTGCTGTGTTGGCACGGGTGCTCCTTGGGCTGTCTGACTTTGTGACGGTGGTCTGAGATTAGGTTTCAAATTGAAGTCTTTAAAACGTCTCTGCAAAGAATCGGCTTTTGGAGCTTTCTGGAGCACGAAGGCAGTGGTGCTATCCAGGACGTTGCTGTGTCGGGTATCCTCAGCAGGTTTCATTCACATCGCTTAGGCAGTCCTCAACAGTGCCACTCTTTCAGAAGTGATCTCAGTGGGGTTTCTGCATCTGTGGCTTCTCGTGCTGGTCTCGAGCTTTCTGCTTCACCTGTCTTGATCTTTGAGTACCTCCCCAGTTGTTTTAATTGGGGTATTGAAACAATGACTGAAATTAAACCAGCCTATAACTTTTGAAGCCTTCAACTCTTCCCATGTTTTGAGGGCCATATAACAAGCCCCAAGCCCTTTCAAGCTGCTCCTTAGGTGTTTTGGCAAAAGCACTCCCTCTATAGCAGTGCTGGTGCTCGTGGAGATCTGGGCAAGGAGGAGAAGTCAACTGATTCCTCTAGCTTGGTGCTGCCGCCCTGTTTCCTAGAGCTTTCCGCAGTGCTCGTGGCTGGCTGTGGCTTGCCCCAGTAGCTGTGGCAGGGGGGAATTGAGTCAGGGCTTGGACCGGATGGTCTCCAGAGACCTTGTTCCAACTCAAGTTTCTCTCCGTAATCCAAGTAACGTTGGGAGACTTTGAGTCTGAGTTAGCTTTGTTGCTGGAACCCCTCCACATATCTGTACGCCGATGATGGGATTTGAGGGTAGCAGCAGTGTCTATATACAAAAGAGCTTTAGTGCTCCGTGCATTCATTTAGAGGTTTGATTTAATAACGCCGAACCTCTGCAGCAGAGGATGGTGGACCTCTGCAGCTCCTTTGTGCAGAAGGCTCGTCTTGCTGTTTGTCTAACCCAGAGCCGCACAGGTTAGCGAGTCTCCTGTGAAATGAAGGAAGTTGTAGCCATTCATCTTTCAGCCTAATGGACCACAGAAATTACAAGCTGTAGCATGCAGCTTAATCTTGCCACAAGGCAGAGTGCTGCATACTTTGCCTTCAATTTATGCATGCCATGCCTTTTTATTAAATGTAAAAGAGCAGTTGACAGGATTACTCCAGAGGACTTCCTTTGGCTATACCTGGTAGATAGCCAGCGCATTTCAATATATAGTAAAATGAATGATGGTGGTTTCTTTACCATTCCTAACAGCCACCTTTGAAATTTGAGGACAGAGTTATGGACTATCCTCTGTGTGTCAAGCAGCAGAAGAGAGCGAGACGGCTATTTTAGCCTTAACCCTGCAGATGACCCACTTCTTGAAGTATTTCAGTTGCCGTTACGAGATGCAGTGAGGGCCGGAGAAGCAGTTGCGTGTCTGTGCTTGGTCAGGCCTTCACCCAGAGATGGCTCTTTGCCGCTTTCTTTTCTGTGTTCCTCCTTGTATTATAACTTTGAATTGTCTCTCTGTTGTTGCAGTGTGCAGAGGAGTGAATGCCCCATGTTGTGTTAGTGCCTGTCTGCCATGCTGGCCTGTCTGCCAGGACCAGGTGACCTCTCCTTTCAGCTTCTTTCTTACACGCAGATGAACACTGGACTTCAGAAATGTGAGTGACGTTTTGTCTGCAGGATGTGGTTAACTGTTAAATCTGGCTCTGGTACAGCTGTGACATAAACATTTAGGATACAGTGGAAAAACTATTTAATGTTAGAGTCTTTCTTTTGTTATGCCTTCAAGGCATCCATCAGTAATGGCTCTGAGAAATCGCTGTGGAGGTTCACGTGTGTGCAGCAAGCTCTCCCCCCTTCCTGGCTTTATAAAGGTTAATTTTAACCACAGCAAGATGAAATGCAAGTGAGGTTCCTGTGAGATTTGTGCCTCTTTGCTGCAAACATTTTGTGCTAAAAGTGTGTCAGCTGACTTGTTTTCTTAACACAACTTTTTCCTGACTCTTCTTCACTTCCATTCGTTTAATTACTCGTAGACACCAATAAAAGTTGGATCAGGCTAATGCAAACCTTTTGAGGTCAGCAGCTCTGTTGTTCTACATACCTGGGGCATATACTGCAAATATTAGCGATCTAGCCCAAATTACTAAAGTTCAAAGTTTCCGTCGTCTTTCTGATGTCTCTTTGGTGCTTCTGAAAATATGTCTGCAGAGTACTCTGACAATTCTTTTTTTTTTTTTTTTCTAACTTCAGTCATTTTTTTGATAGTTGTACTAGTATTTTTAAGAAGAATTTAAGCTTGGGAATATAAGTTTACTGGCTAGGGATTTTTTTTTTTTAAAATCGTACTGTCTCCTCTTTATCACTGCAGTTGCACATTGATTGTTCAGCTGATATTTCAGAAATACCAAGGTTTCTATGAAAGATCTGTGTACTTGGTTCTTAGGGCTGTGACCTGTCTCTTGTATTTGAAATGCGCATTGGGAGATCTCTGTACCCTCAGTTTGCTGATGGACTCGTTGCTCTTCAAAAGCAAGTAATTTACACTGCAGTTATAGCTAAAATTGTTATTATGTTAAGACTTGTGGTGCTACTGAAAATAGGTAAGATAATTTTCCAATTACGGGTGACATGGTTAAGTCCTGCCGGAGGTGAAGGATGCCGTTCACGTACACATGTGTGCTCCCCCCCAGCACTTGCATAGCGCTTTTGCCGACTCCTCGGGCTTGGTAATTGGAACGGACTTCCTTAGATGGTGTGAAACTGGACGTTCCCCTCCTTTCTCTTTTCCATTTCCAGTTCAAGCTTTGCTGACCGAAACTTATTTTTTTTTTCAAAAGGTAGGCTGTTGTGTCCAGAACATGACTTGGTCTTTGCCTCTCGTGAAGTTTCTTTGGTGGATCGGAATGCTTAGTTCTGAAAGCAAATTGTTGAGGTTCACATGAAGGTAGCTGTACATAAATCAGGTATTTGCTAATTACACTTTTACGAGGCAGCATGCTGGTATGTGGGCAGTTTCTTAACCTGATCGTACCTGATGCTGTTTCTGAGAACTGCGTATCCCCACGCCGAAAGCATTGCTGTATCTTGCTTAGTGAGGAGCTTCGGGTACTGCGTTTAAAAGAATTTAGGACATAAAGTAGCTGGCAGGCACTGGCTGGCAGTGGTAATGCTCAGCTGTTCCAGTTTGTTCTGATTTATATGGAAAATGAAACTGCTCGTACAGACCTTGCTCACCCCTGCTGCAGATGTGTGTAAGATTAATTGGTGCGTTTCCCTCCATACTGTATATGCACAAGTAGTCTAGCCCCTGGCCAAAGGAAAGCTGAGTTAATGAGCATTTTTAATGAATGGTGACTTGTGACTTTTGATGGGGGGTTGGAAGTGGGCTTTAATAATAGTGCTGTTGCTTTTGTAAAAGGCACAGAACTCCACATGATAGCCTTTATTCAGACTTACAGTGTTTGTATTAATAATTTTTTAAGTGTAGTTTTCTGGATCAGACTTTTTATTAACACTTAAAAATCTACATTAGCTCAATGATGGTGGTTTTTTTTTCTTATTCACTTGCAAATAAGAGGCATTCTTCTTAAAGATGGTTTGTGCAGTAGGGTTTTTGTAGATTAATATGCACGTATTTTCCCCCTTAGAAATTGATCACTCCAGGGCTTCCCGTCTTGGTATTTTTCTTTGAATTCCAACCTACATCACAGGAAGGGCTAGCCCTGAAATTCGTCCTTATGCACGCAGGGGATTTCTCACTGACTCCGTATTGATATTCTCTCCTTCCTCCCAGTGATTCCAGTATAAATCTGACCAGTCAGTTGGGATACGTGAGGTTAGACTGTTCAGGCATTGTCCGCAGCCGCTGTTGGATGTAGCAGCAGTGCCTGGGAGGAAAAAAGGTGATTTTTGTGACAGTGGTGCAAAGTCAAGGTGAAAGGTGCTTCTTGGAGAGCTTTGGGCGTGAGGGACAAAAGAGAAGAGCAGGTTGGGACTGAATATGGGGTCATCAGCTAAAATCCGAGTCTTTTCTAGGGGTGAGGGTGGAGAAACTGCTGCAGTTGAGATTTTTATGTGGAAGATGGGCACAGCTGTTTTTCGCTTGTCCGGATGTGGATGCTCTCATTAGGGTAGGAATCCTGAAGGCCTGTATGTGTTTTCTTTAATGTTAATAAAAATTTAACCATAGGCAGTTTTAATAGCAGGGGGGTTTAAAGCCTTAATGTGAAATGCGCTTAAAAGATGTTACATTAGTGCTGAGGTGAGGCAGAGAAATACATCTCATTTCATGATAAAAATAGCTCCAGCGGTGAGACGTGCACAGGAATGTGACCAGATGAATTGGTTGCCACGGGATTAGCAGGAGTGTGAACTTGCAACACGCCAATTTATAGGAGTAATTGCTCATATGCACGCTTTACCTTATAGTAAACATGAGATAATTACTTTACAACAAAAATAATCTGCCTTGCATTCACCATTAGGTAACTTTGTAGAGCTCATCCCGTTGTTTTCTTAATGTATCTTGTTCATCTGCCATCCTCCTCATCATTTTATGGCCTGATCCAGAATTCTTGCACTTGTGGTATTCTAATACCGGTATTTTCTTTCAGTCTGTTCTAGATGGTTTTCCATTCGCTTAGTAACCAGACCTAATTGTTCTTTGCTGGTTTGTAGGATATTTGTATGGTATATTCAGGCTCTTGCTCGCCCTGTAATGCCTTTCTCCTTTCTCCTAATTCTTTGCTGCCTTAATTATTCCAGTCGTTGAATCCTGCCTGTGGAACTACTAGCAAAGCAAATTTAAGCAGCACGTTGGGGCGCTCAGAAATGCATCACCTTGGTTGGGCCTAAGTAGAACGTCTGAAACGTCCGTAGTAAAAGGAGCATAATCTCAGCTGTACGCAAAACGGGCTCTGTTTGAAATGGTGGTCGGTTTCAGAAGATCCTGTCCAAGGGATTTAAGATACGGTTTGCCATTTGGTAGGATACCAAACTTGATGTTGGTGCAACATTTAAGTTTAACTGAGAGGTTATTTTCTCTCTTCAGAGGAAGGAGTTCTTTCACATTCAGGCTTACAGATGTGTTGTAACTGATAGGCACAGCCTGTTTAAACGTTGATGTTCTAGCTGCTTTCTAAAAGCTTCCATAGCAGTTCCCATGTAACAGAAAAATAGGTGCTTGGATAAAGGAGTATTTAGCGTATCTGTTCCGTGTTTATATTTACCACCTAATTTGCTAATATGCCTATAGAAATGTAAACCAGGCTGGGAAATTTTGATGGTAAAGGTGTCTTAAAGTATCTACTTAATTTTTCATTTGAAAAGAAAAGCTTTATGCGACAATGGCCACAACTGTAACATAAACCGTAATACAGACAGGAGTGGATGCCTTTGTCCGTTGTTGATGGTTCTTCTCTGATTCATGGTGAGTGGCAAGGGTCATTTCTTGGGGAAGAAACAGAATTTGATGAGCGTGGGCAATGCTAAAAATAAAGGTTGGGAGTTCATGAAGGCCTTGGCTGTTGAGGCAAGGTAGTACTGGCAAACTCCATTCAGAGGCTCTTCTCTCCGTTAGGAGCATAGCAGCTCGCTCAAAAGGACAGGCAGAAACCACCCGCCTGCAGCAGCAGGTCCAGGGATGTGAACAGAGAGGATGTTCAGGTTGATATCAAATAAGCGTTTCCTTTGATTAAGAGAAAGGGTGGCGTGTGCCGGTGTTTGGACAGCACAGAGAGGTAAGAGTGTAACCGGCGCTGTGGTACATGCTGTGCTAGAGATGCAAGACAGCCTGCTTGCAAAGCTTTTTATTTCACAGAAGATATTTTTATTATTTCTATAATTATCCTTTCTTTTAGTAGCCATCCTATTTTCCATTTTCTGGCCCTTACTTTCTGAAAGTGAGTGCTCTTAGAGCAGTGCTGCTCTCCTTCCCCTGCGAAGACTTGAAGCTGCAGGATGCAAAGAGGGAGAGACGGCTGCTGCTCAGACTTGAGCTGTATTCAGGTTTTTGGAGGCAATTTGCTTGAAAGAATCAGAGGTGAATTTTCAAGAGGAGGGGCTGTTTGGCTGCGAGCATCGAGCTCTTTATGGAAGCATTAGATTTCCTTGGGTCAGAGGGCCAGATGTGGGGCCGGGGTGCTCTCGGGCTCTGGAGGAGCTGGATGCCGTGTTTCCCATTCTTTCAGCACAGCAGCAGATGGCATGGGGATACTGAAAATTTTCGCAAAAAAGATGGGTGTTTTTTTCCAGTAAACTGTTTGTAAGGGGGGGGGGACACGGGAATCAAGCAAAAGCAAAATCGGATTGTCAAAGCTACAAGCCGTTATTTGAAGATTATAAAATCACTTCTAAAGCAGTAGTCCCATAGGAGTTCAGCAGCAGAGCTGTGGCAGGGAAACGGCCCAACTCTCTGCTTGGAATGCGATTATAGCGAGAGAGGCCCAAGCATTTCCCTAGATTTCTGAAGCTGCTAAAGCAGTTCGAGCTTGTAGGCAAGGTAGGTATCCAGTAAATCGGAGTAAGTGAAACCACAGCCCTGTCTCCAGAAGTCTTTTGTCTGTGTCTGGGGAGTGGCATGTTTTTAATCTTGTGGAGTAGTCACGTAATTTTGCTGTGTGATACGAGGGTGCTGTCCTTAGCAAGGTGCCACACTGAAAATTCAGCTGAAGAAATAATTGCAAGCCATAAAATGATGCACGTGTAGCCTCCTTCCATTTGCTGAACTTGGACTGACAAGGGCTTCCTAATGGACAAAAAGACACTCAAAGTGCTTTCAGATGTCTAGAAAAGAACTCAGATGTAAATGGAGGCTTGAGCTGAAGTGCTTCAGATGGTTCCCACCTCAGCATTACACGGGTTTAATGTTTAATTCATAACTTTCTGATTTCTGAATTACACGGTAAAGCTACTGAGAATGGCTTGAAGAGCCATGGGGAGGCAGCCTTAAATTAAGAGAATAGAAACTAACCCACCACCGCAAGCCGTAAGAAATATTTCAAGCTGGAGACAATCCGATGTTTATAGCATGTTACCTGTTTTTCTCCAACTGTAAACGTAACTCTGATCAAAACACTGGTTTCGTTTTGCTCTCCTGGGCAGGTCTTGCCTTAAGCTGAAGTGGGGGTTGTGTTGGTCACCAGGTAATAAAGGGAATGAGGTACCTGGTACACAATCTGCTGGTCTGGGAAGATGAAGTTCTGGCCTCTTGATTCCTTGGAGATTTTCTACCCTTGTTTTGCAGTTGTCTTGCCCTGGGGTTGATCCCTTGCTTACCAGAATCGCTATTGACGAATTTCCTTTCTCCACAGGGGACACTACACAGAAAATGAGATCTGCACAGTATCCTACCCCAGCAGAATTGGATGCTTATGCTAAGAAGGTCGCCAACAATCCACTGACTATAAAAATTTTTCCAAACAGTGTCAAGGTTCCCCAGAGGAAACACATACGTCGTACTGTGAACGGACTTGATACTTCGGGCCAGAGGTACAGTCCTTACCCGTCTCAGGCCACCACGAAAACAGGCCTGCTGGCGATAGTCAAATCTCCAGCGAAAGGAATTATCAAAGACTTTGACGGGACACGCACACGTCTGCTGCCGGAAGCGATGATGAATCCCCCTTCCACACCATACGTTGCACCTAGCACTTTAACCCACCCCCAGGCGCTTGCTCGCCAGCAGGCTCTCCAGCATGCACAGACTTTGCCGCACCCCCAGAGTATACCGCAGCCACAGACTTTGCAGCACCCTCAGGGTATACCACAGCCACAAAGCTTACCGCACCCTCAGGGGATACCGCAGCCGCAGACGCTGCCGCACCCTCAGAATATGCAGCAGCCGCAGGGCTTGCAGCATCCTCAGACCATGGCACACCAGACTCTGCAGCACCCCCCGAATCCTTTGCTGCAGCCAGGTTTACATGGAAGCAGAAAGATGCCGGATGCAGACGCGCCGCCGAATGTGACCGTGTCTACCTCAACCATTCCCCTCTCTATGGCTGCCACCCTGCAGCAGAACCAGCCACCGGACCTGAGCAGCATTGTGCACCAGATTAACCAGTTCTGCCAGGCCAGAGCTGGCATTAGCACTACCTCAGTGTGTGAGGGACAGATTGCAAACCCCAGCCCTATAAGTCGCAACCTGCTTATCAATGCAAGTACCAGGGTATCTACTCACAATGTCCCTACACCCATGCCTTCCTGTGTAGTAAACCCTGTAGATCATGCTGCTGCTGCTATTCCTCCTGCCTCTGTTAATGTGCCCATGGTGAATATTAACAGGGTGCCGCCCGCCTACCAGAACGAAATCAAATCGGTTGCGTGGAACCAGCACCAGCTTGCGCATCTGCAGCAAATGTGTGGGGATGCTGCTGGGCCTGCTGGACTCGCAGGGAAGCACCCTCAGAGAGAGATCGCAGGGCAGAGTTTTCCTGGCAAAACTTCAAACTACCCTCAAGAACTGTGCATGGGCCAGTCGTTCAGCTTGAAGCCCCCCATCGAGAAGCCTACGCCTTCTCCGCCTGTGAATGGGTTGCAGGGACCCTTGCCATACACCAATGGGCACTATTTCCAGCCCATCTGGAATAACATTCTGCCCACGCCCAACAGTGACAGCTCTGGGTCCCAGGACCTCGCCATGCCTTTCCACGGGGGACAGCCGGCAGGAGCGCCGCTAGATTGTGCAGGAGGAACTCATTACAGAGCTGGAGCTGGCCCATCCAGCCAGAATAATGTGATGCAGACCATGGATTACCTAAGCGGGGACTTCCAGCAGTCCTGCTTCAGAGATCAGAGCATGGCCGTGCTGGGAAAAGTCCATCGGCCTCCCATGAACCGAGCACCTGAACCAACCGATAGTCGAAATCTTCATATTCAACACCCAGGGTATAGATAGGCTGCAGTCACTTTCACAGACAAAATTATAGGTTTAGTCTTAATTTTAATTATTAAGCAAGGCATTTTTAACTTGCAAACTTGTGTGATCATTATAGTAACCATTGGAAGAAGACATACTGTATATTTAAAAGCTTTGCCTACGTGTTGTCTATCTCCTTTATGCATCAAATATTTAACATGCCTTTTGTTTCAAAGAATTTCATTACACTACTTCACGCCACAGCTGTTTCCTCACCGCAGAATCCCCTTTGTGCAGCTTTTGCCTTCTGCTTAGTAGCTCCTTGCTGGACTGATGTTGAGTTGCTGCAGGGTTTCGCAGTTGCATCTGTTCGCCAGCTCCGTCAAGAGCGAGGTAGCGTAGCTGCTTAAATTTCCATCTCAATTTCCTCTGAAGATTAAGAGCAACAGAATTTGTCAGGAAGCAGGGCTCATTTTCAACTCCAAAGCCCATTTCATTAATGCATTAAACGTTGACCATTTGCACTGTCTAGAGGCCTATTTAATTGAAAAAGAAGCCTACATTTGAAAAGAGCTAGTAGGGTATGTATTTAGGCATTAATATAGGAAGAAGCTTTTCAGCTGTTTCTTGCCGAGACGCCCACGTTTATCGTTTAGACTTTGTCCGAAGTCAAAAGTCTCTGGCAGATTTTTCTGACGCTCTTTTTTTTTTTTTTTTTTTTTGGCGGACAGGGTATGGAGGAGGGGGGAATGGCGGTTTTAGGACGTAGGCAGCATAGCTGCTGTAAGTACCTGCCTTTTTTTCTGCATTGCATTTCCCTTCTCTGCTCCCCTCTCGCCAGCGTAAGAGCTAACTGTGTGTGAACCCCTCGCTGCTAGGAGTCTGGCCGTCCTGACGTGAAGGGAATCCAGACCCACTGACAACTCCAAAAAGGGTTCAGTCGCTTCTCCAGTAGCTAGAATTAATTTCAGGGCGAGGAGACGTAACTCGAGCTCGTCTCCGGTGCAATGAGCAGGCGCGTGGGGTGGCGTGGCACGGTCCCGTTGCGGCAGCGGTACCGACGGGTCGGGAGGCGGTTCAGATCAACGATCTGAAGCAAAGCCCCCGCTCGTGAGCCACTGTGGGACTGCTGGTCCCGTATTCCTCTCCATCCAAACGCCACGGCAGATTTAATGGAACAAATCTCCTCTCTGGGAATTAGCGAAGCTATTTATAACATCCCTTTTTCCCAGGGTCTCGGTGCCTAACTCTTTCTGTTCCTTTCCCACGTCGCTTCCAGCAGCTAGTCGAGTCAGTGACCGTAGGACACTAACTATTGGGTAACCTCAGCGTCTTGTTCTCTCCTCAGTGTACCGAAACACACCTTTCCTTTCTAACAGCCGAATTTGTTGTAAGTAGAAAATTTCTCATCTCTGTTAATGAGACTAATACTTGAACATAATGATCACAATCAAGTTTGGAAATTAAAAAAAAAAAAAAAAAACCTTAAAAAAAATAAAAAGCATTGATTCTTTATATGTACACTGGCTAAAAATATTGCTCTACACTGTAACTTTTAAGTGTAATATTTCTGTATGAATGTCGCCTGGTAGTGTGGGTTTGAGTAGCATTGTGTATGGGTGAACCCACTGGCCTCTGCCATCCACTGGCCTCCCTCACAGCCCTTTGAAAAACAAAGCCTTAAGTATTTGCTCCTTGAACTTTCCTTAACGAGCATGGTTTAAAATCTTAAGACATCGTACAAAATTGAAAAAACAAAAAAAATAACAAGTTTTGAAGTGACGTCATAGTTGGCTAGAGATTCTTAAAAGTTTTTCGTAAATGGAAAAATTAGAAAACATTTATTTGTATTTTTTTAATTTAGACGTGTAGTCCTGGGCTGTAACAAATATTTAGGTTTCAAAGCTTAGCAGAGTACGTTTTCTGACTCCTTGCGTAAGTTAGTACACTTATATCATGTCATTATTTAAATTCTTTTAAGTGTACTATAAACCGTTCTTTAGTGGTAACTCTTTAGCAAAGTTAAGCAATTTGACTAAAGACGGATTAAATTATGTGTTGGCTTGTGTTGCCTTATATTTAAAAAGGAAAAATTGCCTGATTGTGTTATGCCAAATGATAGCAACATGAAGTCCTAATTTATTGTTTATAATCGTATTCCTGCAGTCTTTGTGAAAACTGGTAAATATACATCTATGAAAGAACTAAAACCCTGAGGCTTTTCATGCAATATTTTTCTGAATACACTCTATTGGAAGCCAAGGTTCGAGTCTGAAGCTGCTTCCCTTACAGTCTCCCCGTCGTCTTCCCCGTCTTACTCCCCCAAATCGATCTAGGGCTGTGCTATGACTTTAACCTTTCCTGCCGAGTTAGTTACTGTAAGGTGTTCTGCTACCTGAATACATACCTTTTTACTAAATAAAATATTGGCATCTCCTCTGTTCCGTAGCCTGCTCCAAATCTCAACCCAGACTGTTATTAAAAGCTAATTTTTTCCTCCTGCTCTTCTCCCGAAGGAGAGAGAGAGAGAGAGAGAGAAGGAGACTGAGTCGAGTCCCGTGGTGCGCTGTTTGTGGAAGTGGTTTCGATGGCGGGGAGGTGTTTGTGTTAGCGATGGCAGCACGCGGTGAGTTGTTGGGGATCGTTGTGCGCGGGCAGACGCAGGTAGAGCCACGACCTCTGAGACTTTGCCCCAGTACGGCAGGACCGGGAAGCAAAAATACTCCCGAGACACATCCAGGTGGGACGTTGCTTGAAAAATAGGAATCGTTTTACTATTAAAATATACTGAAATATTTCCTGGTGTTGTAGGAGTGAGATTTGTCTTTAAACCAACCCTTTTCACTTCTGCTGCAGCCTGGTGCTGGTGGGCTCTCCTTCCTTCTCCGTTCCCACTACCTCTTCTGTAAAGAGAAACGCAGAGGTTGACCTGCCTGGCTCCCGGGTACAGCGTTTGAGAGCAAACACTGAAAACGCTGCGCAGGCGCCCGGCGAGGGGATGTGGACGTGTCCCTGTCGCTCACCGAGGTGACGAGGGGAAGAGGCGCGAGCCACAAGCCGGTAGTCCTGTGTGTGGTGGGAGCGCTGCGCTCTCCTCGAAATTTTTGTCCACGCGCAGTTTTATTTCGTGCTCTGCCCGGTGCAAAAATAAGATTAACCTAAAGGCCAGGGACGCACCTTCGCCCTGGGCTGTCCCCGGCACCCCGAGGCAGATCGCCGCTTGCCTTTGGGGGTCACACCGCTGCTCCCCTCGCTGGCTCAGCTTGCCTTTCTGTCTGTCGCTGCCTCTGTGGGTCAGTGGCTTCCTGACCTCTGGCTCCGGCACGAGGCTTCTGGTCCCCTGATGGATCCTGGGCGTTTGGGCGGGTGACAGTTCTGCTCCTTGAGGAAAGAGTAAGGTATTTTCAGATGTTTTCCTGAACTATTTACGCTGCCTCGTCAACACCTAAAACTGCACCCCTTTGTAGTGCCACATTCGTTTAGCAGAGTATCGTTATTCTAATGGTTCCTGGCACCTCCCTCGCCAGCCGGAGGTGGACATCAGGTAGATCCTAGGAGGGCTAAACATGAAAGTGGTGTAAACCCTTCCACGAGGAGGTTTCCGTCTCTGACGTGTCTTGTCTTTCGAGCAGAAGCTTTGAAGCTGTTAAATCGCGAGCCCAGTTTGTTACAGCCCAAAGTTAACATTTTATAAAGACGCTTGTGAATTTTCTTTAGGCTTCCGATGTGAAAGATGTCTCCGTGGGACTCGGCCGCTCCCGTAGAAACCAAACAGAAATGTTTGCTGGGGCTCACTAGGGAGAGAACTGGGAATTGCTGCTGTATTTCATTAAACCACAGAGTGATTATAAACGCTGCTGCTTATTTGCTACGGGTATGAACTAGAATATTTTTTTTTTATTATTATTATTTTTGTCTGCAGGGAAAATAAAAAGCAAAACAAAAAGAGAGAAAGAGAGACCTGGTCCCTCTGCCCCTTCTGCTGGTTTTATGCAGCGCGAGTGCGTGGGGCTTGCGTGGCCGGGGTCTGCAGTGCAGGGTGGGTGTGTGTCCCGAAGAGAATTTGGGGAAAGGTCTCCGTGGGTTTCTGGGGTGCGACTGCGTCGGGCACAGCCTGCCTGCCCTTCCCCGATAACAGCGCCGAGAAGGTCTGGGAAAACAGAAGAGAGACAAAATCTCCGAGCTGGAAAGGTGCTGATATAATTATTTGAAGGGGAGGAAGAGGCGAGGAGGTGGTTTAAGTCCTGTCAAGGTGAACTGGGAGAGATTTTTGACAACATCTGTGAGGGTCAGGGCTGTCCCGCGCCCTACAGCTCTGCTGTCCCTGGCTGGGAGGGAAAAGCCTTGGGGAGACGTAGGGCTGCTCCAAGAGCTGGACCTAGAACCTACTGCCCCTTTAAAGTGCTGGCCTAATAGTGTGGGTAATAAACTCAGAGTTTTCCTTATTAATATAATACAAAATTTTAAAGGGGATTTGTAACATTTGTAGACCCCTTCCAGAAGATAGGAGCCAGGAGGGTTTTCTCCCCTTCCCAGTGATCGTACATCTAATTTAACCTGTGTGCTTTCATCTCTAAGAACGACACGATGACACAAAACCCATCTCCTCTGCACTTGCTGCAAACACCTGAGTGTCAGAATCCCTCTGATGGCAAACTAATACCTTTCATACCGTTTTGTGTTCCCCAGATACTGAGAAACGTATTCAGTTCCCGCATGCTTTTCCAGGAATTTGGGCTAAACCGGGCGGCTTAGCCCCGCTAAGCTCAGCCGGGAAGAGCGCTCTTTGCCCTCGGGCACTGCCGCGTTCCGGCTCCAGCATCCCGAAACGCTGTGCCGAGAGCAGCCGCTGCGCTCCGTCCATCCACCCTGGGGAGATGCAGCTTCGGGATCGCCCTCTCCTTTGACTCGGCATTGCTGGAGCTCCTTTGGTATCTGGTGTCTTCATCTGTGTGTGTGTCCCCCCCCCCAGGAGGAATCCCTTCTACAAAACCTCTTTGGCAGATTTTTACATCGTCTTTGCCCCAGTTAGACCTGTTTACTGGAGTGAAGATCTGGTGCGATAACGAGCCAGTGGGGACTTCGGCAGGAGCAGCTGCTGCCTCCGCCAAGGAGTTACCTGCAGCCCCAGCTAAGCCTAAGGCTCCTGGCAGATGGCAGAGTAAGATCCAACCTTCTAAAACTTCTCCTTTAGGGCCAAATAAGGGGTTTCTTCCAAAGATTTAATTGCTGTGTTTGCTCTTCTCCCCCTACGCTGAGCTCACCGTACTCCGGTAGACGGTGGGAGGATGCAAACGTTGAGTTTCACCCAACGGTGCGCCGAGATGTTCTCTGTTGAAAACCACCGTCTCGCGATGGACTCTGTTTGGAGGGGAGCACCCGCTACAGATGCTGAAAAAAAAAAATAAAAAAATTCAGAGCTGAAAAAAAGTCCTGCTTGATTCGGGGGGGAGGGTAGGGGGGGAGGCTTGTGTTGGCCATCCTCTAGCAACAGCCGCCTTTCGGATGCTCTTCCAGTGCTCAATGAGGCCAAATTGCAACGAAATTATTGCAGTATTTTGTCTAATTAGTTTTAAGTTAATTTCAAGGCAATTGAGTACAAACCGTTAATTCAGCCGGGCTGGCGGTGAGCCTGAGAGATGCGCTGGACCCGGAGTGGGGACCTCACACCGGAATTTCAATGGTCCCACTGGAAAACCCTCTTCTTCGTCCCCTCGAACTCCTCTGTCCTGGGGGGGCAAAGGGTTGGGGCAAGCGGGGGCCTGGACGGGTCTTTAATAAAGGATGTGAAGAGCAAATTTGTCTTGTGTTTCTGTCCCGATGAACTATTAATGTCTGGTTTCGCCGTCTCGGCTTAAGAAGCGTCAACGATCGGCACAAATCGAGGCTTTACCGACGTGGTTTTGCCAAAAATTCTCAGCCCAAAGGTGTTGTAAGGTGTTCGAAGGCTGCGGCAGTTGGGTAGATAAGGGCATCTCCCATGTGGTTGGGGTCTTCAACAAGCCAGGGTCCGGCCCCTGCCGGCCAGATGGGGGATTCCTCCATTTATAGGGCATTTAATAACGCTCTCATCTCCGGTTTGAGCCCCCTGTGGAACACGGGGGCAGTGTCCACGCCAGTAGTGTCCACGCCACGCTGCCCCGACAGAGCCAGGGAAAAGCTGGCAGGTTCTGGGCTTTTAGAATAAATCTTCAAACCAACAAGTTTCCAGGAAGTTTATTTTTAAACTCGATATTTCAGGCTAAATTTAGTAGCAAATCGATTTTTTTTTTTTTCCCTCCCTCTCTTCCGTGAATATTAAGAGCGTCACCTCTCGCTTC